GAACATGTACGAGTTTAGATAAAATTGTTAGATCCCAGAGACTATAATAATAAAAAAAGCCATAGCAGAGATCTAAATCACATTTGCATTGTGTAAACTGATATGTATGTAGTTAAGTAGTGGTTGTGCTACACCACTTTTCTGCTGAATGCCAGCCTCATGCAACTGATTGTGTATCTGTCAAAGTGCTTACTGTTTTCACAATACCAATAATAATAATAATAATAATAATAATAATAATAATAATTTATATCCCACCCCTCTGCAACGCAATGAATCAAGGGGTATATTGACACCACTAAGGAGAGTTATACACCATCCAAGAATGCACAAATTCATGTGCAATGATTATGATTGTGGAAGTTGACTTATGTAACATGAACTGATTATGGGCATTACTCTATATCCAAAAATTTACAAACGCATGTGGAAGGTTATTTGTCAGCCCACATTATTATAACTTGGTACTGGATTGAAGCCCACCAGCATTCCACAATTTGCCCTCAGGGTGCCACAACAGAGAAGACCATCTTCTAGAGAAGGCCCTCAATGAAGGCAAGAATTCACTGTGGGACTTATATCTTCATACATGGGCCTATGTTTGCACTTGGGGGACTTCTGTAGCATTACTATGGGGAGAAGGAACTAGTTTGTCTTTGCAAGTGAACTGGCCAGGCTTGGAGACCTCAGACCCAGCAACTCTTCTACTGGACTACTGGGCTAGAAAGTACTGCAAGAAGCTTGAGAGATGGCCCAGGTAACAGAGGAGACCTAGGAGTCATCACATACAGTGGGCCGTCCATATCCACAGATTTTACATCCACTGATTCAACCATCCACAGCTTGAAAATATTAAAAATATATATAAAATCCAAAAGGCATACCTTGATTTTGCCACGTTACATAAGGGGCACCATTTTACTATGCCATTGTATATAATGGGACTTGAATATTCACAGATTTTTGTACTCTCAGGGGTCCTGGAGCCAAAGCCAGTGGATACCAAGGGCCCACTGTATAATTTGCCCTATATACTCAGGTTCCTAATGGTGGCACAACATGTGTGAGGCCACTAGCGTGGTTGCATGCACACACCACCATTGAGAGCATTTGCAGATGCTTAAATCCATGGACGTTATGCCCATAGATAATAAGGCTCCATTGTATTCATTTCCTGGATCTGCAAAGTCTATCTTTCAGCACTATTCTTCTGAAACTGGTAGCTAGAACTGAAACCTGCAGACAATGGGAAAAACAACTACAGAATACATCATAGATAGATGGCTACCAAAGCTTACCTGCTCTGCTGATGGACTTTTGAGTACTATCAGAAACCTCTGAAAGACATTACTATGGCTGGGCATCAGTTGCACAATGGTGGAGTGACTGATGTCCCAGTGGCTCAATGCTCAGTAGACACCAATGGACATTGGAGCTCTCCCCAGTATGCAGCTGGACACCAGATAGGAACTGCTGGAGCAAATCAGGAGCATCTGATGTTACAAGTGCTGAAAGGACATTGGAGTATTTTTACTTGTGCCCTGATTCACAATTCACATCTTCACAATTCACTAACAAGGCTTTGTTGAATTCAAAGATATAGGTGTGTTAGTCTATAGAATCAGTATGTAGAGAGATCTTGAGACTATGTGAAAGAAAGATGTCAGCAGCATGAGCCTTTATAAACTTTTAAAAATATAAGTCTACTTCTCAGATGCTTTTGGATTCATTTACATCTGAGGAAGTTTGCAAATGCATCTGAGGAAGTAGACTGAAGTCTGGGAAAGCTTGTGCTGCCAACTTATTTTGTTCAGTTAGTCTCAAAGGTGCTACAAGGTCTCTCTACATAAGAGTTTTGTTGAGCCTCTGCAACATAGCTAAGGATTTTACACTAGATTGTGAACGTAAAATCTACTATTTCATCTGTCTATCTGTCTATGGACGTTATCACACTGGCCCTAAAGCAGCGTCATTTCAG